GGAAAAGCATCAACCAGCAGCAGAGCAGGGACAGTCAGCAGCTTTGATGACAGAAGCAGCAGAACTCAGTGAAAGCAGGAGTTCCACCTGTTCCTGGACCCGCAGTAAGTTTTTTTTTTTTTTTCAAAAAATGAATAAATATACAACTTTTTAAAACTATAAATAAACACAACTATTGTTCAACTCAAAATGTTAACTTGTCTATGTCTGCTCACATTAGATCAGTAGTAACATTAATAATCAAACAATAAGCCAAAAGATATGAGTAGGTGTTTACTTAGATCTTTATGATGGTTTTCCACAGGCAGTTTTACCACAGCAATAGAATAAAATCCTGAAATGATGTTTCTGTGTGCGGACCCAAGAATTTAGGAGGCCCCATCTGGCCACCCCTATGAAACATTTCTAGAGACGCCCCTGTTCCTCCTCTGCACAGAAAGCCCTTTCCTTTGCAGAAAGTGCTGAAGATGGTAGGAACAGACTGCATTTAAGAAAACGTTTTATTTTCTTACTGTGAGTAATTTGATCTAGTAAAAGCATTGTCACACTGTCTTTCATTTGTAAACACAAAGTGCAAAGTATTTAGAACCCCCCCCACCCCCCCCTCTTTTTTTAAAAATGGAATCTTAATTGTGTTTTTAGTTTTTTTCATGATTGTTTCCTCGGCTCAGCCACCCATTGCTGTTACCCAACCTCAACCTGAACATGACATGAACAGCCGGAACTGTTCTCAGCACCAGAAACAGTGGATGAAAAAAGAGATGCAAGAACTTGGCCTGTGGCCTGGTTCTCAGCCTGAGCGGAATCTTGGAAATGTAATATCCCTCTGGCGTCATCCCCCGCAGCCTGGACTCAGTTTTCTATCTAAGGAAAACCAGTTGATTGCATTCACTCGTTGACTTGAAGCAAATCTTCACACCAAGCATGCTTGTAGTGACAGTGGAGAGGAAAACTCCCTTTTAACAGGAAGAAACCTCCAGGCTCAGTGTAAATGGCCATCTGCTGAGGCCGACTGGGGTTCAAGGAGACAGAAGCAGACATAGAAAAAGAAGCATAGATACAAAAGGTAACTGTAAACCGGATCCACAGGCGGCCCCGTCCAGGAAACACACAGCCAGGCAGATGAGCTCCGAGCCAGCTCCTATGTCAGAGGATGAAGAGAGCACATCCAGTTAGCCACAGTCAGAGAAACAGGACAACGACCTCAATTTACCCATCTTGTTAGCTTTGTCTTTACTCAACAATAAACACGTGAAATAATCAAGAATAATCTAAATGAAATATCATTTAGCTAGATCAACCCTGTGTCATCGTCATGACTTAGCCTTGGTCAGTCTGTAGATCTGGACCTTGGTTTTCCATGCTGGTGCATCTTCCAATATGAGCCCCTGGACAGTTTCGCTGAAAGAGAAAAATAATCTGTGTGCTGTGGTGTTCCTTTCCTTAAACAAGCACACTTTGGGGAGCAAAGGCGCCTCTGTGGAAGTGTCTTTTAGAGTGAGTTGGGGGAGTGTTGTAGAAGCTTGGGAGAAGAGGAGCACCTTGGGGCAAAACTGCAAGGTTCATCCCAGTGAGCATGGTTACGATGAAATGTGGACATTGTCAATCATGGTTTATGACCCAACAAGTACACAATGTTTGTTTTTGTGACCTTTGTTTAAATAATGGGAATATGAGAAGTTAATTAGGATATATTCTTATTCCTCTGTAGCATGTATGCAAACATGAAACCAAATGTCTTGTTATTGTACTGTCAGTTTGCAACAAATATGCTGTAAATGTAGTAGTTGACCTGGGGAAGTTTATAGCATTGATTTACTAAAAAATAAATCTCACTCAGAAACACAGCTTGTTTTCTTTACCGTTTTTTATTTCCAAAACCAAATGTGCGACTTAAAGGCCACCAATCATCATAATTACAACATTAGTATTTAAATGATTCATGCCAAATTGTTACCAATGCAAGAAGAATATGAACAGATATATATCAAACAGTATACATATCGTAAATATAATTTTAATACACCAGAAATTATCAAGAAGCAACATGTTTTGTTTTCAATGTGCAGTGAATGTTTTTTTTTTAAATACAAATGTAATATTATATAACATAATGAGTGTGAGGAAAATAATTTCTTACAGAAGCAGAGAAACAGATGAAGCTGTAGCATATAATCTTTCTCGGAATTGAAAAGTTGACCTCCTTTAAGTATGGTCTAGTAGGATTCCACCTTCACTTATGTTGGAGGGTATCGCTTAACAGATTTATTCTTCATTGAGCTTCAACAGAGCAACAAACAGCCTGATTAACAGGACAGATGATCAGAGGAGCAGAGTTTTCCCCTCCATTATTAAGAAAAGGACTGAAATATGGGTAGAGCTTCTCAGTGAAGCAGCAGCCAGTAAAGGAGTAGATCAGAGCTGCAGCATCTACATCATAGAAGGAGACCAGACCCTCCTCATAATCCACAAACACCCCCACCTTCTCAGGACCAGGATGGAGATCAAAAACCTCTGTTGTATCATCCCCTGTTGAGTATTCATTTCCATTTCTCAGTACAACTGCCCAGATACCGTACTCAGTACATGGAGCAATGTCTCCCTTCCTGTCAACTGACTCTCTGGCCACTCCTAAATCCCAGTCAGTCTTTCCTTTAACCTGAACCTCAAAGTAAAATCTGCCTGAAGAGAAACTCTCATTTCCTAAAACATTAGCAAATGTAGAAAATCTCTTTGGCTTGTTTGGAAGATTCTGCCAAACATCTCCATGTTTCACTTGTTTCCTATCATCTGACAGAATTAGTTTAGGATGAGCTGTATCAGGATCCAGAGTCAAATCAACTGCATACTGTTGGACCCTCTTTAGCTGCAACTGCTTCTTCATATCTTCCCAAAGAGTCTCCTTAAGCTCAGCCACAGCTCTCTCCACAGTCCCCTCATATGATGGTGGATGGACTCTAACCTCGGTCCAGTTCTTTTTAGGTGGGTCAGCTTTCAGGGAGGAAAAACATTGGTGGCCATCATCTTCAAAGTCTTGTTTCTTCAGCTCAGATGTTTCCTGTTCCAGATCTTTGATGAAGTCTTTTGCCTCCTTCTCTGTAGTTTTCTGTTTGTCCTCGATCTCCTTAATAAGTTTTTTAAGGAATCTCTCAGCAGACTCCTTCAGAGCAGCGGTCACCAGAAACCCTTCTACTTTCTCTTTCTCTGCAGCATCTTTGCTGTTCTTCACTATCTCTGTGATTTCTTGAATCTTCATTTCATTTTTTTCAATCATCTGTTTAACTTCATTGTCTCTTCTTCTTCTTGGTTCTTCCTCATTTCCCATATGTTCTGTACTCAGAGGAACTAACTCATGGTTTTTGTGATTCAATTCAGAGCAAGAAACACAGACATGTGTCTGGTCAGTCCAACAGAACAGCTCCAGAGGACTTTTGTGCTGCAGACACATCCTGTTTTCTAAATTCTTAGAGAAAAGCAATCTTTGCAAAAGATCATTCCTGTTAATTTTCTTTAAAATCTTGGTAGTCACTTCCATACAACGTTGAAGCGTGTAGGTCTGCACCATCAAATCCACAATGTTTATGCTTTGTGCTCTTGCCAGTTTTTTCTTCCTGATTGTCGGGAGCCCAGGGATGCTCGCAGGCTGCTGCAGGAACCACTTGAACTTCTCAAACTCTTCCTCACTTAAATCTTCTAAAGCATTCAAGACATCTTCTGCCTTCAACTCGGCATCTAACTCTGCAAAAGAGTAAAACTTCATTTTATAATGATAAAAAGAAAAGAATCTGCCAACAAACAAACTTAATTTCACAAACTCGTTGTCCATTGTAATTATATAGTTTTTTTTATATGTTATTTATTTCCTGTTGCTATTTAAATTAGATATGAAAATCGTTTGAAAGGCTTAGGTAAGGCACATTTATTCATGTAGCACACAATGGCAAGACAATTCACTGCTTTACATAAGAAAAAGGAAAAGTACACTGCATTGGCATAGTTGAGTAAATGATCAAAATTAGATAATTATAAAAATAGGATTACTTGTTCGATTACAAGCCTGACTTTAGAGGGTTAAATTTGAGTCACTCTCCACACCCAGATCTCCAGACTGGCTGACGTTTTCTAGCTGTACTAAGTGAGGCAGAGCACAAATTTATAAACACCCTTCTTTTGGTGTAAAAACCATCAATCTTGATCCAGTGCTTGAATAGGTTCAGTCACCTGGTGTGTTTCTAATCTACAGGCATATGTGTTTTGCATATTAATGTTAACTTATGTTGTTGTTTTTGGAAGATCTGAGATAGGGTTTTTATGTACATATTGAATATGAGGGAAATGTCATATAGGATTTTGTGATCTGTGATGAAAAGTTACCTACAGGCACTAAAGAGGCCCTGTCCTGCAGGTCGGATATAAACCAGTCCAGTGCTGTACCAGAAAGGCTGACCCTGTTTTCCAGGCACTCTAATAAAATGGAGTGATCAACAGTGTTGAATGCTGCACTAAGATCTGTCATTATCTTGGCATTGATGGCTGACTTAATTGCTAATTTCCTTCACTTGTCTAACTCTGCCGGTTACAGATGAATGAGAAATTCTGCTCGGTTTGTCTTTACTGCTCTTCTGATCCACCTGCTCCTGCTCCTATTTAAGCTGCTTGGTCCAAGCCATCAGTACCAGATTATTCTTGAGCCTATGGTGTGAGAGTTCTCTTGTGTTCTGATTGCCTGATCCTGACCCAATTTGCTTTTGGACCTTTGAACCTGCCTGTCCCCGTTCTGATCTGTTTGCCTGACCTGTCTTTTGACATTTATCAGATTCTTCTTGTGTGTCAAAATTATCATTTGTAATATTGAGTCTCTATACTGTGGTGAGTTTGGCTTAGCATTTAAGCTGAAACAGACATTATGACATGCCAGGCAGAGCTTTGTTTAAGAAGGGTATAAATATAGC